GAGAGGAGCAGCGGGGGCACCGCGAGGAGACGGGCGGTCGTGCCAGCGGCACAGCAGGGAAGATCACAGTCAGCCGACCGCGCCAGGGCCCCTGCGGCCGAGCCAATGCGGGTGGCGAGGTGTCAGCGGGGCCAGGCCGACGGCGGGGGGCAGCCCAAGGCGGCGCTGCCGGCATCGGCGCTGGACGCACCAGGTGACGCGTGGGACATGCAGCACGTTGCGCGGACGTGGCGCAAAAAAGGACTGGGCACCAATGGCGGCTGAGCCGCATGGATGATGGTGGTGTGTGTGTGTGTGTGTGTGTGTGTGCGCGTGCGTGCGTGCGTGCGTGCGTGCGTGCGTGCGTGTGTGTTTGTGTGTGTGTGTGTGTCGAGTATCGCCAGCGAATTTACTAGGCAGAGGACTCAATGGCACCTGAGAAGAATGCGCGCAGGCTTTCCAAGAAGGCAGGAGCAAGTGAGCAGGGGCGGGGGGGGGGCGAGCAACAGCAACGACCTCACGGCGGGGCGAGCCGCCGACGCCCAGCTCCTCAGCCACAGCGGATGAGCGCGGGCAGTTGAACCCATCAGCACACGACCTTCTCCAGAATAGGTGTGAGCTAAGCCGAGGCCAGGAGTCTTTTGCCTTGGCAACCGACGCTCGGAGGGGAACATATCAGCAGCGTCGCAGGTCCGTCGTTCCAAAGGTTGATCGGTGCTGTCGAGGTGCGGTCCGCTTGCCCGCGCACCCGGCAGCCCTCAAACGTGTCGGCGCCACAGAGCACGCGCGGCCGCAGTAGCCAGCGATGGTGCATGGCTTCACCAGAAGCTTTACGAACTGAAAAGACCATTCAGGAGAGGAAAAACACACACAGACACAATTAATCGTCCACTCCCAGGAAAATATAGGAAAATATGGGAAGTGGGCGGGAAGACAATACTTCAGAAAACATGGGAAAATATAGGGAATCCTGTTATTTGTGTTTATTTATTTGTGTGTCCCAGGGCCCCTTCGTGCACGGCTTCACCTGAAGCTTTAAGCATTGAAAAACCATGGGTATTCGCTGGGTGGGCGCGCAGGTCCAGTGCCGCCCGGGTCTGAGCCTGGAGTGAACTGCCAGCGGCGGTTCCCGACTGGGCTGGCTCCGATCAGCGCGGTACGGGGCTCTGTCCCCGTCGTGTTGATCCCTTCGCTGCTGAGGGGTAGCCGCTCGAACCATGCCCGTGGACTTGTATTCCGCGTGCTCCGCCTCCAACTGGGCGGCCGAGATAGAAACACGCAGTTGCTCTGAGTTGAGCAAAGAAGGATCTTCGACCGCCTTGGCATATCTACTCGATCGCTGGTGCGCTTCGTTCACCTCTCCCGCAAGGAGTTCCAATCTGGTGTGCCTCGCCCCGTGTTGGTACTGCGTTGGGGTTGCACACGCATGCGCACGCACACGCAAACACACACACACACACGCACAGACACGCAAACACACACACACACGCGCATACGCGCACACACATACACAGACACGCACGCACACGCACAGACACGTACACACACGCACGCACACGCGCACACACGCACACAAGCATACGCACACAAACACACGCACACGGCGCGCACACGCATTTACATCGCACAAGCACATATTTAGATGTACATTCATATTGTGCACAGCTACGCACACACACATATATAGTTGTATATGGGTGCACATATACATACACACATACACACAAGCACATACACGTTCCTGCGTACGTGTATCCATACGGAATACATGCATACGGTATGTACAAACAAGCGGGGCCGAGGCCCGGGGCCCGTCACCTTCGGAACATCGGCTGGCAGTTTTCCATACCCCTCCCCAGGGGCCTCCTAGGATTCCTCGAGACGGCCCAACAAGCCTCCGCGACAGCCCAAGATATCCTCAAGAGGCCCTAAGAGAGGCCCAAGAGGACCCAGGAACGATCCAACAGTGCTCCAAAAGCGCTCCAGATGGCCCCAACACGACTCAAGAACTGAGGAGGCCAAAAACGTGGATGTTTTGCAGGTTCTGGAAGGATTTTATCGTTGTTGCCTTTGATAGTTTCCGACGGCCTGAGACAGCCCAAGACGCCTCCCAGAGACCCCTAAGAGAGCGTCAAGACACCAGCGGGCAGACCGCTCAGGAGAGCCCCAAGACGGCCCACGAGCCCACGATGACAGCCCAAGTGGGCCCCACAAGGGGCCTAAGAGGAGGAGCCCGAGCTGACATTTCGAGTCTTCCGCCACAAGACGACCCGCGAGGCCTCCAACAGCCGTTCAAGATGCCCCAATAGGCCCCCAAGAGGCTTCCCATGGACATCGATGAGGGACGCCATCGGGCGTGCAGAGCGGGCATGCTGAAGACGTGCTTTCCCACTTTGGTCAGGCTTCTTCTGTTTCGAGCAGGTCCCTGGACTTGTTTGGAAAGTGTCGAGCCAATAGTTGTTTTCAGAGCAAGTCCAGGGACATCGGATTAGACGTCTTGTGGGCCACCACGGCATGGGGG